ATTAAGCATGGTTAAAAGTTTATACCTCCTCTGTTGTAAGAGCATGTTCTCTTATAGACAAACAAGCAGGATCATCAAAGGATATGGAAGTAACTGAACCAAGGATGTCAAGAGGAGCTTCAGACCAAATAAATTCTGCTGCAGAGCCCACCTTCCGCAAAATTGAAACACCATCTTCGTACCTGCAACAGAATCCCTAGTTAGAAACAAACTGATACATATAGAAATCTGCATTATGTCACTACTAGTTTGAGAGAATAAAAATGCTTTGCATGCAGAAAAACTGCAGTAGATGAAACACCATTAAAAGGAGGTATGTTTCTACATGAACACTTTAAAGTTTAAACCATGTTTGCAATTGTTGAATGTTAAGTCATCAAAGACAAAAATTAACTTTTTTTCATTAACTGACATTACAGTTAACTAAATAGAGATAGAAATTAGGATTCACCCTTCTCGGTTCCTCTTTTGCTTCGTTGCTCTGAGGACATCAATCACCTACATAGAACGAAATACCTCAAATTAAGTGTTTGCAAGCACATGCCAACTTAAAGCAGCAAAGCATAAATAGAGAGAAATTAATAAGAAAATGTGCTTGATGTACCTTTGGGGGTTCTTTGCCTCCTTCAAAGAGGTGTTTAATATCAAAAAGGCGAGGGTCAATCTTTGCGGGGGCCTTGTACTTCAAACCAATAATGTAAATTTCTGCGGATGACGAACGACTGGCTAAAGGTTTGTCAACTTCAACCTTTTCAAAAAGCTACAAAGGAAAGTTACATGTAAGAAGCCATATCATTCCTCTCCAAAAAAAAGTAAAACTCCATTAAAAAGGCAATTAGACGCAACAGAAAGAAACCTGTCGCAAACAGTACAGGACAGCATTGTAGTCTCGAGACCTGAAAACCTGCAGAAACCATGTAACATTTAAGCTTTCTGTGCAACAAGCTTATATTCCAGCCATTTTCAAATGGAGCTTTCCAGCATCCAAGTACTATGATGCTGCCAAGTATATTACTCTGTATACAGAGAGCCGTGTTTGACAATATTGGATACCATCAGATCTCACCTCTAGCTACACTAGAAAGTTGAATGTGGCCAAATGTCTAATTTCTAAACATATCAGTAGCCGCTTTTGTACTAAAAAAACCTCACTCTATCCCATAAAGATGTGCAAAATTTGATTGGCTCTTGTCTTGAGTAAAGTAGAAGTGTGTGGCTGAGATTTATGCAAAGGAGAAACAACACTATGAACCATATGTTGTTTTCCGTTTATTGAAACATGCACATCTTTTTGGGACAGATGGAGCATCTTATCTAGATGTGTTGGCTGAATTGTTTATTGCATAGAAATGACAGAAACGTGTAGAACCAAAGCATGTGAAATGAAAATAAACCCTTCAAATCCATACTCTTTTCTTTTAATTTGTTAAAGAAAAACTCAAAGTTTTTGCATTGTCAGAGTCATTGAATCAGTTAACCACGCTGCAAATTAAGCTCATTTTTGTCAAATTTTACTTTAATAACAAAAAGGGCTCATTATGTTCACAAATACATCAAGGAGAATTCAGAGAAAACTCATCCTCACCAACTGTTTGCTCAATAGTACAGATTTTGCTCTAGTAATTCAGAGTGTTTTTTATTAACATGTAAGAAACAGTTATACTTAATTGCTTAGGTTTAGACACTTGAACACATGAAACAAATCTGGAATTTTTTAAAAAAAAATCAGCACCTTTGTGACAAAAGTCCCCTTTGGAGCCAAGAGTTCTGAGGCGAGCTTAAGGGAATCGATGACCAAAGAATTCTGAACGGTGGCCTCTTTATCCCAAGCGCCACCAACATTGGGGGAACCATCGTGAAGAATCAAATCGAAGGCTCCGCAACCATTCTCGGACATAAGCCTCTTAACGGTGGCTCTGCACTTAGGCGTGGTGATATCCTCCTGGACTGCGATGGCGCCCCGGAGGGGTTGAATGGGGACCAGATCGACGCCGATAACGAGGCTGCCGACGGGGGCTCGCTCTACTGCAACTTGCATCCATCCACCAGGGGCAGCGCAGAGGTCCAGCACGGATAGAGCCGAGTTGAGGAACCCCAACTTGGCATCGAGCTGGATGAGCTTCCATGTGGCTCGAGATCGGTATCCGAGTTCCTTTGAGCGGTGGTACCACGGGTCTTTCCGCTGCTTACCTTTGGCTTTCTTCCCCATGGCTGCTGCTGCTCTCTGATTCAGCAGCTGTTGTAATGAGTTTTAGGTTTTGAGGTTTAGGGTATAGTGTCTTTCCTTTTGTAGCACGACGAATTCAGACCCTGGCCGGTTCAAAGTCTCTAAGTACCCCTTTTACGTATCAATACTATAAAAAAAATTAAAAAAAAAAAAACTTTCTCTCTATGAATGAAAAAAATATGAAAATATTTAAATATGAGTCTTATGTATTTCAAGACAAAAGTGAAAATATATTAGTAATGTGATGTAAGATTACATAATGTTAATGTGATTGAAAGCTGATAACAGTTCAATATGGAAGTTTGACTAGTCAAACGTTGGCGATCTACAACAACACTCTAGTGGTTGGCGGCGACTAGGGGCGGCTGTAAGGGAGGGCAGAGTGGTCACCTGGCCAGGGCCCATTTTTGAAGGGGTCCAAATTTTTCCTGTAAATAAATGTTTATACATATCCATATAAAAAATTTCCTAATTTATTTTAAAAAATATAGCCCTAAATCACTATATCTAATAGACTATAGAGTCATAGAGAGATGATTAACCTATGAGTTTACTCTTAAGAATGATAGAAGATTTTCATGAATCTTCGGTTAGGTACTAAAGTGCGGAGTATGTTGTTACAAATTTACAAGATTGAGTTTGATATTTTATTGCACTTATTACTATAATGTTAATTATTAATAAAAAAATTAATTCATAGATTTTTTACTTTTTATCATAAAATGACACATTTTCTCAGTGTCGGACAGGGCCCCTGATTCTTTCGAGACAGCTCTGGCAGCGACGGATGGCAGTGTGATAGTAAAAGTTTAGGAGTTGCATTGTGACGATCTGGTGAGTCTAACAATGTAAAAACGACAATGTGAACTTTTATATTCGACTCAAAAGACATATTACTTTGATATTGGTGTTTTCGTAATTTTTACTCTTATCCAAGAAATTTTTCCTAAAATAAAAATCTAAAATTTTTTTACTCCCACTGCCCCAAAATGATTTACCTCATTACTATTATGTTCTGTCCATAAATTTTGTTTCTCTGAATATTTTCGTTGATCATCTGATAAAATAAAATATTCTTGTAACCTCTTAATTTGTACTCCCTCCGACTCAAATTAAATTGCATGTTTATTATTCATAAAGCCAAACTTTTTTCACTTTTTTTCATATTCTCATTAGTCATTTGATAAAATAATATAGTAATGTCACCACTAGTTTTGTAGATATTTTCATATTCTCATTAGTCATTTGGTAGTAATTTTTATTTTTTAATTATACATCATTTTATATATAAAATGATTTGAAAATAACTTCAGTCAAATACTGTAATTCAAAACAGCCAATTTAAATTGAGACGGAGATAGTAAAACTTTTAATGTAGTTTTTAAATATATAATTTTTATTTTTTATTTCGATTAATACCAGTTTGTAAATAAAATTAATTTAATAATTCATTTTGTGAGAGAGGGAGCATAAAATAAATGTGTTAGAATTCTTTTTATACTAATATATATTATAGTTTTTATAAAATAATTTTATTCGAATCATTTGTATATGAATATACATTATAGTTTTTATAATAAAAAAGTATTAGAATCATTTTTATACTAATATATAGTAATATAGCTTTGAGATTCATTCAGTTTAACTAAGAATGGTCATTGGGTTTTGAAGAAGTATACACCTCCAAATTTCAAGATATATTTGTTGACTATTATGGAGGAGATGGCAAATTATATGGTGGACTTAAGGTCCACCATGAACCTACATATGACTCAAATAAGCAATTTCTTACTATTTATGATGGATATAACTAATACTCGGCCTAAAAAGTTACTGGTCATAAAATGACCGATCAACAATGCAAGCGTTGTTTGGGGTAGCGCACAGTTACTAGCTCTCTCCGGAAGTGACCAGTCATATTTTCACAAGGTCGTACACTTGCATGGTTGTTGCAGGAGACGATGTGGAGGATTTTAGTTTATTTTTTTATAGTGTGTGAATAATTACGCAATATAAATATATGTTTACAATTTAAAAACGGGACCCCATGGTTCCTGATTCCTAGATCCGCCTCTGAATACCGATCCATTTAAATAAGAACGATTCGTGATAGGTTCTGGTAGTATCACAGACTGCGCCCATCCCGTGGTCAAACACATAATTGGAACCCTTCCAAATAGAATGTTACTTCATCCGTCTCAAATTATAATGCATGTTCACTATTCACAAGGTCAAACTTTATTCACTTTCTTTCTCTATGTTCGTTAGCAATTTGATAAAATAAAGTATCATTGTCAATACTAGTTTTGAAGATCTTTCGATGTAGTATTTTAATATGTAATTTTTATTATTTAATTCTATACCATTTGTCATATAATGATTTAAAAATAATATCGATCAAACATCGTAAACCGAAACAGGCACTATAAATTGGGATGGAAGGAGTACAAGTTTGAATCCTATTAAGAGTATCAACTCATTGTGCTTCAACATACATTGTAATAACATTAATTGTACTAAAAAGATATGAATGTTTCTAGTTCAATAGTCCATATAATTTTATCAAAATAAAAATTAGAAAAAAAATGTGTAAATAAAATGAATATAGCAACAATGGGGACTCAGGGAGTATAACATACTACTACATCCGTCCTAGAAGATGTCTATTTTTGACTTTTTCTAATCAACAGTTTTCAACATTTGACCTATAATTAAATAAAATATATATTGTATATTAATTAGATAAAATAATATTTTGAAAATATTTTATATGATAAATCTAATAAATTTATTTTTTTTATCAATATCTAATAGAGTACCATTTTTATTCAATTTGGAGTCAAAGTTAACCAATTCTAACCAAAAAAATCAAAAGTGAATAAATACTCTAAATTGCTCAACCCATTAGTCTTCATCATTTTGGGAATACAAATCACAGTTTGGCATAAAAACACAATATAGTGAAACAAAATTTCTTCAAGTCCCTAGGAGGCTAAATATGGACCATGCAGAACTTAGGTATTTGTAGCCCTGGTGTAAATTTGCTGGCTGGCATGTGCAGCCACCATCCTGATCAAACCTCTTTCCATCAATTCTTGGATTGCCTTCCTGGCAAGGGATCCACTGATCTGTTGAACAAATACGAGATATCATGACTTTTGCATCAAGATTCACCTTGTTTGCACTAAACTCATAAAGAAAATATCTTGGGCGAGGAAAAAATAGATTTATGCAACATCAAAGATGTTTCCATGTTGTTAGCTCCACCGCAGTGATTTTTGTTAATGCCTTTTTTGGATTGCGGTGAATTATCAATGATTTTGGGGATAAAGAAAACATAGTGAATTAGGCTAGCTCAATTCAAATGATTCATTTCACAAAAACTGGGTCTTGTTATATCCATTCCCATTTTGGCAAAATCCACTTCATCTATGTTAAACTGACAAGTTTGTCCTTAAAAATAAAAAAGAGGGAATTTAGATGCTTTAAGGGCAAAATTGTTCATTTAAAATAAAAAGGGTGAATTTAGCCAAAATGTGGGTGGATATAGCAACATGCCATAAATTAGGTTAATACAAGTAATATCAAAACAAAGTTGGCTGAATTACTTAGCCAAGAATGATCAAGGTTCATCTCAATCCTTACACAGCTTTTGTGATAAACAATCAACATATTTCATCATCAAAGACGTTATCTCATAAACAAGTTGGAAAGGGAAGACAACAAAATCATTGGTAGAAAGAAAATAAAAATAAAAACAAGTCAATTTGTACACCCTCAATTTTTTTCACCACAATCCTAGCCAAAGAATCTTTGAAGAGTGAAGACTCATTTTGAGAACACAAAGCAATGACAAAAGAAAAGATTGCATATACCAAACTTTAAAGAAAAATCTAACTTTCCAGAGATATCAAAAGTATATAATATCCTTGAAAAGTTAGATTTTTCTTAACAGTTTGAAAACTAGCAAAAAAATTAATGTCCTCTATGCAATCTTTTGTCTGGTCACTGTTGTGTGCTTAAAATGAATCATCACAGATTCTTTGGTTATGATTATGGTGGAAAAGATTGAGGGTGTGCACACTGACTTGTATTTTAATTTCTTGTTTTGTTTCTACCAACAGTTTTGTTGTCTGTTTTCTTGATGGGTCGATGAAACGAAGTATGTGATCATAAAATTATAATACGAGAATTATTTAACACAAATGCTCCATATGAATTGAGGTGAACCTCGATGAATCTCGATAGAGTAAGTCAACTCACTTTGTTTTGAAATAATTAACCTTATTTAAGTAAAATGAAACATTTGCTTCGAGTCAACCTTTTCACTATGTGTTCTTTATTCCCAAAATCAGGACAATACACCTCAATCCAAACAAGGTGAAAAACAATTCGCCGAGGTGGAACACTAGCACTATGTTTGGCTCAAGGATTTTGAAAGGAAAAGAAAAGAAAATGGTTTTCTCTCATTTTCCTCACCAAAATGGAAGGAATTTGATTTTCCCTCCACTTGGTACATTTTGCCTCCTCATTTTCTTTTCCTTCCACTTTTCCTTTCTTTTCCCCTCTAACCAAACAAGAAAAATAGTTTTCCACTTCATTTTCTTTTCTTTTCCCTTTCAAATTCCTTGAACCAAACATAGTGTAGAGCTAACACTATATGAAAACAACAAAAGAGAATAGAAAATTAAATCACATATTCTCATGTTTGTAAGGCGTAAACAGAGACAAGGAAAGATTAAGGGATTTGATCCAACCCAGAGATATTATAAAGTCTGATCACCTACTAGTTATAAACAAGTAATCATTGCAACAAGCCTAGATTTTATTCATCCACATGTACTCTACACACCATGTGCAAAACCAAAACACATAACTTTTTTCCTTTTAAACCAAACAAAATCAATTTTTTAAAAACCAAAGTAGAAATTACATACCTTCAAACGTTCGGAGAGGACAGAAGGGGTGACAAGCTTGTACTTGGGAGCTTCTGACATTAGCTTATCGTAGGTGGCCTTGTCGAAAAGCACCATGTTGTTCACCTTCTCCTTTTGCTTCCCCTTGCTCCACTTCTGCATATTCATAGAACACCACATTTCTTGATACTTAGCATTAATTAATAAAATTCGTTAAAAAAAATCGAATCTTGACACGCCGAAAACTAGATAGAACAAGAAATGACCTTCTTTTTCTGCTTGCCACCGCCAGATTTGGCCGGCTTGGAAGCTGCAGGAGGAGCCTTTTCCTTCTTCGGTGCCTAAAACCACAGCAAAGAAAAACCACTATGGAGATACGGGGGCAGATAGAGAATACATGACGGAATCCAATTACGGATCAAGATCATTGTTGAAGAAACACACCATTGTTGTGTGGATTCTAGGGTTCCGGGCAGATTGTTGAGTACTGGCTTGCTGAGAGAGACAAGATGGCCGGCCAATACTTCATTCCTCCGTTGATCTCAGCCTGAAACACACCATTGTTGTGTGGATTCTGGGGTCATCACTGGTGATCTCAGCCAAAGGAGGAATGAAGTATTGATCTCAGCCAATTGAGATCACCATGTAGCAAGGGGCTGCAAGGTGATGTAATTGGATTACAAAAATAAATAAATTGTTATAGCCTTCAAAAAAGAAATTGTTTTGGAATTAGAATTAGGGGGTGCCCTTCAAAAAGAAAAATAATTAGGGGTGTGAATAAAGAAAAATGACAAATATACAATAATAATAATTATGTAAATTCAAATTTATAATATAAACACTCTCAAACACCTATAGAGATATTTTTTTCCCAAATTTGTTTTTTCACTATTAATTCAATGATTTTTTTATTTTTTATTAATGTAATCGTTTGATCAAGGCTAGCCCAAGGGTGGGCCAAAGAGTCCTACCGGCTTAGACCCATTTCTTTTAGTGTCCAAAACTTTTACGGAGTATTTTTTAATATATATTTAAGATTTAAACAACTTTATTTTTAATTCAATTTATTTAATTGTAAGTGTAAATTTAAATATAAAAGTTAAATGTTTACAAATTATATAAATTTTTTTTATAAAACTAGAGATGACGTGGCTACATTATAAGAAGTATTATGAAATGAGTTGTGAAAATAATCAAATAAAAGTTTAACCATGTGAGTAGTATATAGAGAGAACCAACTTGGATAAAGAGAATTAGAAATAGCGGGTGTCCTTCAAATAGAAAAATAATTAGGGGTGTGAATAAAGAAAAATGACAAATATACAATAATAATAATCATGTACATTGAAATTTATAATATAAACACTCTCAAACACCTATAGAGATATTTTTATCCCAAATTTGTTTTTTTACTATTAATTCAATGATTTTTTATTTTCTTATTAATGTAATCGTTTGATCAAGGCCAGCCCAAGAGTGGGCCAAGGAGTCCTACCGGCTTAGACCCATTTCTTTTAGTGTCCAAAACTTTTATTTTTTAATATATATTTAAGGTTTAATCAACTTTATTTTTAATTTAATTTATTTAATTGTAAGTGTAAATTTAAATATAAAAGTTAAATGTTTACAAATTATATAAATTTTTTTATAAAACTAGAGATGACGTGGTTACATTATACAGAGTATTATGAAATGAGTTGTGGAAATAATCAAATAAAAGTTTGACCATGTGAGTAGTGTATAGAGAGAACCAACTTGGATAGGGAGAGTATGATATATAAGTTTTTAAAAATAAAAAACCTTCATTCTTTTGAATTAGACCTATTATTAATTTTTGTTTTAAAAAAATTAGTTTATATGTTCAAAAGCATTATTTATATAATTCAATTCATTACCGCTAAAAGCCTATTTTCCCTTTCGGGATGGGCCCATGAATATTCAGGACCGATCCTGGGTTTGATTATTTTAATTGTCATACTTAAATTATTATTTTGAAGAATCAGTAACTGTAGATTATGTATTGATGTTATTGATGATGTTGTTGTGATTTTTCTTGTTTTTTAATTAGTGTTGTTATTGTTGTTTTTATTATTGTGGTTCTTGTTACTGTTGTTGATCATTTCAGTGTCCGTTTTAGCATTGTTGATGCTCTTATTGTTTGTGGTGTTGTCACTAGTTGGGTGATGTTTTTGATGTCATTCTTGTGATTATTGATGTTGTTGTTGATCTTGGTAATGTTGTTGTGATTGATGTTTAATTTTTTTCACTCTTGTTCTTATTGTCTATGATGTTGTTACTAGTTGGGTGACGTTGTTGATGTTGTTATTTTTGTTTTTGTTGTTCGTGATGTTTTTACTAGTTCGATGACATTGTTTTGTAATTGTTGTTATTTTTGTTTATGTTATTGTTGTGGTTCATGATGTTGTTACGAATTGGGTGGCATTGCTGTGTAATTGTAGGCTCGTTTCATTTTTCTTCGTGATGAAACTAGGAAGAACAACCCAACGTCACCGACGAAGAAACATACTACTCGCTAGTCTAGGGCTACAATGCGAAGAACCACATGCCAGGAGTCGATGACTACGGGCGTAAGATGAGAAAGTTGAAGTCGTCCACCAATCACTGCTCTAGTTCTTCCAGTAGTAGCAAGACTCATATTGAGAGCCTCAAATAGCAGGACCAACGTTTCTGGGAATAGGTTGGCGCCGTAACATCTAAATTCACAACGATTCAAGAAGGCTTGAAAAGATTATATGGTGGTCACTACCTTCCACGAGACGATTAAGGAACGAGGGGAGTAGGGAGTAGGGCAGCCTGGGCTATTAGTTAAAGTGTTTGAATCATCCCAAAAATATAATGTTTTTTATACATTACATTACTTTGTGGTTTTTGTTTAACCTTTATATTAAAAAGTTAATTGTCATTTTTTTATAGTATGCGTTGTTTTGTAATTCTCACTCTCGGGTATGTTATGTTGTTTAGAATTGTAGATAACCAAAGAAATACAAACAAAATCCCAAAAAACAGGCATTTCTGGTTATGTTCTGGTTTAAACTGTGACAAATCTGCAACAGTTACTCTGTTCGTCGCATATTACTACAGGCCGCCACATAGCAAATTTCACGTCACATATCCAAAGGGCAGTCCTGTCGTTGGACCATCACAATTTGCGGGGGTTTACCTATTAAAAAGCCGTCACTGGTCTGTTGCAGATATGTGACATATCAATGCTTTCGTCACAAATTTTAGATTAGCGACAATTTAATTGTGACTGGCGCGATTAAAGAACAAAATCTAATTTTAGTGTCGACAAAATAAGCTTCTCTCCCAATTTTCACTTAGGCTTTGTTTTTTTTGCTTAACAGAATAAAGTTCGATATTGAAAGATATTGAAAAAAAATAGAAACCAATCGAAAAAATAGAAAAAGATTGAAAGTTTATTTAAAGCAAAAAAATAAATAAATGAAAATAGTTGGAAAAATATACTCCCTCCGTACTATAATATTCTTTCCCGTTTCTGTTTACGAGATTTAACCGACTTTATTTTCAATTCAATTTATATGATTGTAGGTGTAAAATTAAAAAATAAAATTTATATATTTAAAAACTATATCAAAAGTTCTACAGAACAAGTGATGACAAGAGTATATTATTTTATCAAATATCGAATGTAAATAGGTAAAGAAAGTGATTAGAGTTTGACCATGTGAAAAGTAACTGGGAAGAACATTTTAGGACGGAGGGAGTAGGAGCTAAAATAAACAGAATGGAATTGGAATCGCTCATTCTTTTCTTATTTTTCTAATATCAATGTTAATCATACAATATTTTTTTAATTTGCATGTAACTAACTCATATCTCAAAAATAGTGAGAAAATATAAAAATATTTTTTCAATGTTAATTGAAAGGATTTGATATAAATAATCTAACATTTGCTAAACCAAACAAAATTAATGACACACCATATTGTACACACTAAATAATAGTAATAGTACCATATTGTACACACTAAATAATACGGAGTAGTAATAGTAGTTGTGATGATGATGATGATGATAATAATAATAGTAATAATTTTAATAATAATAATGGTAATAATAGTAATAATAGTAATAATAAGATTATAAGAATACACATAAGTTAATTTTTAAGTGATTGTTGAAAGGAGTTGCAACTTGCAAGGATCATGAAGGAATTGAAAGAAGCTATAAAGAATTAAAAAATACTTGAAAGATTTTATAAAAGTGGAGAGGGATTAGATGAAATTATGAAAATATGGAATGGAAAGGAATTGAAAAATATTAACCTATGTTTGGTTTAAGAAATTTGAAAAGGAAAAAAAAAGAAAATGAAGTGGAAAATAGTATTTCTTGTTTGGTTGTACTGGGAAGGAAAACCAAGTTCCTCTCATTTTGGTGAGGAAAATGAGAGAAAATCATTCTTTTCTTTTCCTTCCAAATTCCTTGAACCAAACATAGTGTAAAAGTTAATAGTTAGAACCTTAAAAAAACAAATTGGCATCCCATTTTTAAAATGTACCCCATCAGTAGGTTCATGTGAAGAACTATTTTCGAGTATCAGTCTCTATTCTCTAACAAAGGGCCTACTCCCGTTGCACAATAGTTGCAAACACTTTCTTCTAAGAAGTGAACCAATCAATCTGTGTTCAGTACATATTTTAATCATTTTTTTTCGCCTTTGCAAGTGTATAGATTTGGCATGAATGAGAGATACGTGTGGTTTACAGGAATCCTCTCTGTATGTTGAGAAAAATGTCAACCAAACTGTGCTCACAAGATGGAAGCTTCGCGACCAAGCATCTTAAATGCAGAACTTCTTTTTCTGCACATGTAAAAGCAAGTGAAAAAGAAGAAGAATTATGAAACAATATCATGTTCATGTTGGAACAACGAACAAGTAATCTTAACAGAAAGAGAGAGAACGAGTAAAGCAAACGTACGCGGATCTTGGCTTCTTCTTGTCTGTCAATGTAAGCAAGAAGTTCTTCTTGCTTCATCAATGCTTCATACAAAGCCTGCTCATACGAAGAACGATTTTGAATAAAAGAAGCCGAATTCGAATCAAAGAGGTAAATTTACATCATATTAATGTCTCTGTACAAAAATGTGTCCCAAAAGAGGGCTTTTTTTCATGGGAACTAGGGACTAATTCGTACCGCAAATGTGAATAAACAAAAATTTACCTTCTTGGTAGCAATTAACTCGGCTTCTAGTGCATCCACCCGGCAGACAGCAGCATTCAACAACTCCTCTTTTTCGTACGGCATCTCAGACGGCTTTTCTTGAAGCGTGTTGACTCTTTCTTCAAGTTCCCCTAGCCTCTCCAGTACAGTGGAGAGCAGTTCTGTTTCTGTTGGTGCTGAGGGAATTGCCAAAGAAGGTGACTGAAACTCTTCCTTTGGCATTGCTTGAGAAGCATTGGATTGGTGGTTTAGGACAGAGGAATCATCCGGAAGTTTTTTGGTCATACGAAATGCAAATGAACGCACGAGCACGAAGAGAGTTGTGAGGTAAGCCATAATAGCAACTAAAACCTGAGCAAAAAGTCCTTTGGGTGTCTTTTGAGAGTCTGGTAGTGAAAGCATCCCTGAGTTGAGATAAATTGCCATAATTATTTACTGTTTACAGACTCTTTCTCTGAG